TTTCATCACCGATGTTGCCATTTTTCTCTGCTTTATCTCACATTAGGTGTTGTAGACCAAGATTGATTTTATTTATTTATTTTTTAACTGGAATTTTGTAGTGTTATCCAGACTGACCTCAAATCTATGGGCTCAGGAAGCCCAGCTCCTCCTCTTTTTCCTCTTCCTCCTCCGCCTTCTTTTTTAGCCAGGATCTCACTATGTAGTTTAGGCTGGTCTCAGACGTGCAGGGATCCTCTTACCTCAGATTCCCCAGTGCTGGGATTATAGGTGTGCATCATCACACCCAGTTTAACCCAGCCTCTTTCTCAGCTTCCCAAGTAGCTAGATTTGATTTCTGCTACTTGGTTGCTACTTGGAACAAATGGCCTCTCTATAAACTGCAGGATTAAAGAGGTTGTCTCCTAAGTTCCTTTCCCGCTTTAAAGGTTTCATTTTCCTCACCTTTCCTATAAGGCCTGCATTAAAATATTGGTCAAGAATTTCTTAGAGAACGTGATAGATAAGATATGCTATTTTCTGTTAGTGACATGAAGAAGAGTATTGGTACAGTAAGATCCATGTAAGATGCTATTGTATGTTATTAAAACACAAATTACTGGAAAAAAACTTGTTTTAGGAGTCATCTTATTTTGTAAAATTAAGACTATTCAAAAATTACCAAAAAAATTTACCATTTGTTTTTTGCCATTTCATTATTAAATTTTAGAACTTTCGTAGCCTGTATGCTACCAAATGGAAGAGCAAAATTTGAGATATACTACAAACTACTTAATGTCCTTTACTATATCATGTTGTCATTCTTTCAGGCAAATATTTGCTTAGTGTCTACCACTGTCTAGAAAATACAGCATACAGAGCTTCCTATGTCCTCAACCTGTTGAGTCAATAGGAATGGCCCTCCCAGCACATTGACATTTAGCAAAGCACACTGAATATTGTTAACCTTAAAATCTCACCTGAGTTTATGTAGGCTTTGCTGATAAAGCATAAACAAGATTGAAGTCAGTCTTCACCCCCCTTCCAGTGAAGGTTGTGCTGTTTATCAAGGCCCTTGGTGCCCACCATCCTGGGTCCTCTAGTTAGCTTAATCTGTCTGGAGGCCCACCTGTCAACTGGTTAACCTAAACTATCAGGGTCCAGCATGAGTAATGGAGACATTCTTACCAGTAGGGAAATTCCATGGATTTAGAGGTCACCTCCCAGAAACCAAGGACAAAGATTTATTCTGGAAACCAGGGACAAGCTTTTATTCTACAACAGGACCCAACTTCAGATTCTTGACAGAGCTCTTTACGCAGAAAAAGAATAAAAGATTATTACTGCCTTAGAACATCTCAGTATGGCAGTTTATTTTTCTTGATCATTATGATATGTGTTTGCATTTAATGGGCTATACTTTTTTTTTACATCTGTTAACTTTTTTCCCAATACTTAATTTTTGTTCATATTAATTTTACAAAATACTATATTTCATTATAGCTTTTTTATATATACATTTAGCATAATTTGATCATACTCATTCCCCCTTACTCTCCCTTACACCCTCTCTTCCTGATCCACTTCTAATAGTCTTCCTCTTTACGTTTTTCTTTTTCATATATACTTTGTTACTGCCTATTAATTTTGCAAAATATTGAATTTCAATGTAGTATATTCATACATGTGTACAATGTAATTTGATTGTATCCATCCTCCCATGACCTTCCCTTATACTCTTCCAATCTGTGCCCCTTATTTCCTTCCTTTTTCTAATGCTCTCCCTTCTGTTGTATCACCCTATTTTTCAGATTCCATATATTAGGGAAAATGTGATGACTTCCAAGTCTGGCTTTTTTCACTTAACATGTTGGTCTCCCAATTCTGTTCATTTTTCTGAAAATGACAAATTAGTTCTTTATGGCTGAACAATACTCCATTGCCTGTATATACCACATTTTCTAGCCATCTTCATCTGTTGATGGACACCTAAGGTGGTTTAGTGTCTTAGCTATTGTGAATTGTGCTGCAATAAACCTGGGTATGTGGATATCTCTATAGTATGATGACTTTGATTCCTTCAGGTATATACCAGAAAGTGGTATATAGCTGGATCATATGGAAGTTCGATTTTTAGGGTTTTGTTTTGTTTTTTTTGCTTTGTTTTTTGTACCGGGGATCGAACTTGGAACCTTGTGCTTGCAAGGCAGGCGGTGGAACCACTGAGCTAAATCCCCGGCCCTAAGGGTTTTGTTTTTTTTAAAACGGGGACTTGCTATGTAGTTCAGGGTGGCCTTGAACTCACTATGTAGCCCAGACTGGCCTCAGTTGAACTCAAGGTGATCCTCCTGCCTCAGCCTCCCAAGTGCCGCCATTATGGGCATGTGCTACCACAGCTGGTTGGCATTATTTTTAATATTTTGAGGAACCTCCATATTTAGTTCCATATTGGCCATATTAATTTACATTTCCACCAGTAGTGCAGAAATACTCCTTTTTTCCCCTATTCTTGCCAGCATTTGTTTGTTTAGTATTCTTCATGATTGCCATTGTGACTGGTGTGAGATGAGGTCTCGGTGTTTTGATTTGCATTTTCTTTTCTTTTTTTTTTTTTTTTGATACCAGGGATCAAACTCGGCTCCTTGCGTTTGCACAGCAGGCGGCGAAACCACTGAGCTAAATCCCTGGCCCTGATTTGCATTTTCTTAATGGCTAAAGATGATGAATATTTTTTTATGTACTTATTGGCCATTTGTTTTTATATTTTTTTTAATGTTCAATTCATTTGTCTGTTTAATTGAGCTATTTGGGGTATTTTTTTGAGTTTTTTGAATGTTTTATGTATTCTAGATAATTAATCCATTGTTGGAAGAATAGCCAGCAGAGTTTCTCCTATTCTGTCTTTTCTCTCTTAGTTGTTTGTTGTGTAGAAACTTTAATTAATGTCTCATTTGTTGATTCTTGCTATTATTTCTTGTGCTACTAGAGACCAATTCAAGAAGCTTTTGCCTGTGTCTATGGCTTTAAGTGTTTCCCCTGTGTTTTCTTGTGGCAGTTTCAACATTTCAGGTCTTTCATCTGTTTTGAATTGCTTTTTGTGCAGAATGAGAGATTGGATCTAGTTGTAGTCTTCTATATATGGGTATTCATTTTCCTCCCAGCACCATTTGCTAAAGAGGCTGTCTTTTCTCCAACGTATATTTTTGGTTCCATTCTCAAGAATCAGATGGCTGTAGCTGTGTAGGTTTGTTTCTGTGTCCTCTATTTTATTTTATTTCATTGGTCTGTATATCTATCTTCATGCCAGTACCATGCTGTTTTTGTTACTGTGGCTATGTGGTAATTTGAAGTTGGGTATTGCTCCAGCTTTGCTCTTTTTGCTTAGGATTGCTTTGGTTATTCTGGGTCTTCTGTGTTTCCATATGAATTTTAGGATGTCTTTTCTGGATCCATGAAGAATGTCATTGAAATTCAATGGGATTTGCATTGAATCTGCACATTGCTTTTGGTAATGTGACCATTTTAACAATTTGGCAGTTCCATAAACCTGGGAGTGTTATCCAGTAGTTCCTTTAGAAATGAATGGCTCACCAATCGAAAGTATTCAGGTCCTTCTTAACTCAGACAAAGAATTGGATGATACAGGCCAAAAAATTGCATTGTAGAGGTTTTTTTTACCTTAGATTGATCACTAGGGTTGTTTTGTTTTGTTTTGTTTTTTGAGACAGGGTCTTGCTATGTAGTTCAGGTTGGCCTTGAACTCACTATGTAGTCCAGGCTGACCTCAAACTCACAGCAATCCTCCTGCCTCATCCTCCTGAGTGCTGGGATTACAGGTGAATGCCACCATGTCCGGCTCCTTAGGATTTTTTTTAAAAAAAAAAATTTTGGTACTGGTGATCAAAGTCCGGTCCTTGTGCTTGTGAGGCAGGCGATGGAACCACTGAGCTAAATCCCTGGCCCATTGTATATATTTCTTTACCCATTCATCCATTAATGAGCACATAGGCTATTCCATATGTTACACATTTTTGTTTTTTTGTTTTTTTGGTTTTGGTACCGGGGATTGAACTTGGGACCTTGAGCTTTTGAGGCAGGCCGCAGAACCACTGAGCTAAATCCCCGGCCCCACATTTTGTTTAAATAAATCATGGGTATGCGGGTATCTCTACAATATACTGACTTTAATTCTTCCAGGTGTATGCCAAAGAGTGGTATAGCTGGATCAAATAATAGTTCTCTTTTTAGCTTTTTGAGACATGCCTACTGATTTCTAATTTACATCCTTCTCATCAACAGTATATAAGATACAAGTGTACTGTATTTCTTTCTGCATCTTTCTGTTTGTTGTTGTTCTAGAGATTGAACTGAGAACCTTTGCACTGAATTATATCCCCAGCCCTTTCTTTATTTATTTGTATTTATTTATTTATTTAGGTACTGGGGATTGAACTCAGGACCTTGAGCTTGCAAGGCAGGCACAGTTATTTTTAATTTTGAGACGGGATTCTTATCAAATTGCCCAGGCTTGGCACAAACTTTCAATTCTCCTGCTCCACCCTACCATAGTATTGGAGGTACACGTGTGAACCACCATCTCTGTTCACTTTTTTTTCTGTTCACTCTTTTTTTTTCTGAGACAGGGTCTCTCTATGTAGTTCAGGCCGGCTTCGAACTCATGGCAAACCTCCTCCCTCTGCCTCCTGAGTGCTGGGATTACAGGTGTGCAGCACCACACCTAGCTTTTGTTTATTCTTAACATGGCAGATGCTTCACAACCTTTCCCTCATTGCCACCACCCCCAGTCAATTTATAGTGGTTATTTGTTATTTTTCTATTTTAAATACCCTTCCTGCAATTTTGAAGCCTCAACTCATCAATCTCACAAAACATTTTGGTACTTTTCAGTTGATTGATAGAAATCTCTGTTGGAATCACAATTGAGGACATAGTAAATAATAATGAATGAGAAAACATGCCTGTTACAACATTAATCTTATATTGTGTTTTTATATTTTCAGGAAACTACTAAAGTTCCTGTGGAACCAAAGCAGAATTATATAAGAACATAATGGGTAAGTTATATAAAGGCAGTTTTCCTGTTTCAGTTAGAAGAAGTTAGTTTTTTTATTTAATTCATTAAAGAAAGCTAAGCCTTCTGAGTCATTATTGCAAGTAAGAAAATAGCTAAATTGAAATTAGTTGTTTACTGTATATTCCTTAAAGGCAGATCAGTAACAGTATTGTGCCAGATCTAGTTGATAATATCTAGTGAGTAACTGTACCTTCAGAAATTTGTAACTTTCCTAACAAGCATAAAAT